CTTTAGGCACTCGGCCTGCCTGGGAGGGGCCGGGAAATAGGAATTTGCAAAAACTCCAGGCTGGGGATAAATCCAAACCATAGAACCTACATTAGACGGGCGCAACCTGACGAGGCGAAGGAGGGAAGCTAGTTGTCATACAGGGCCTATTTTGGTAAGAAAAGTAGCTGCATACCTGGACAACTTGGCCTGTGTCGAGAAAGTTGTGTTCTGGGGGCGTGCGAGTGCAAAGTGCCCGCTACAACACTCCCAGAGAGCCCTCTACTGTATGGGCCTTTAGTGGGCTCGATGGGTTTGGTGGGCTCAATGGAGACAGTGGACACGCTACTGTCGTCGCTTCTCGAAGCGACCGCAGCCGGGAATGACGGCCAGGTGGAGACGAGCTTCAGCTATTTTTCTAGGATGGGAAAGGAAGGCTGGGTCGACCAAGGACGTAAGATTATACCGCTGATGCCTGTGATTCAGAAGCCAGATCAAAGTATTGAGTCTGGCCAAGGCAGCCCATCGTTATCAACTTACACGATTTGGCCCAGAGGCTGGAAAGATTGCTAATATCCTTACCGCTGATCCAGACAAAAGGCCCGAACTAACAATCCCAGAGAGCATCATTGACGGCCTTTGGGTCTCGACCAATGCGCCAACTGACAACAGCCGTCACTGATCGAGTGAGATTTGCCCGATTAGCACGAGCAATATCTCGCAGACGTGCTCTAGCAGCTGCTCAACTGGAGCAACTGGGTGCCGTTGCACCCGGGCAGGGCTATCAAAAAGAGGACCTGCTGACCCGCTGGTGCCATCGCCGCTACGGTTTAGCTCAATAGACCGTCCCCATTCTATCTCCGGACGAACGAGTCTGCGAGTTGCGAGTGTACGGAGTCTCCAGCCGGAGACCGTGGACCCATTTCGCCAATAAGACGATCAATGATCGACTCCAGATAAGCCGGACATGCCGCAAATGCACGCAAACACCCGCAAACACGGTGGATTTCCAAAAGCGGCCAATTTCCTCTTTGGACGAAAGAAAATCAAACTACAATGCAGACGACATCTGCGGCATCAGCGACAACAATATGGAAAGCACACAAAAGGACCGCGCCTCCAGAGGCAGCGGAGGCAGTCGAAGGCACCAACAGACTCAAATGCCGCTGGCCAGCAGGGTGCTATCGTTCCGGACTTGTTTGTTTTTGGGCTTACTTCGGCTTAGTCGCTAGATGCGAGTAGCATCGCTTGATGATGCACACATCCATGGGCTGGCCAGTAGCCAATGACCAGCGCCCAACAGACGGTTGTCTAAAGCGTTGCCAAATGCGGCGATGTAAGTAGCATTTGTTTCGTTTTTTTTTTTTNTTTTTTTTTTTTTTATCAAGTGATACATTTTCTTGGCTACTTTGTTTCATTGTCTTTTGTGTTACGGAAAAGAAACTTTTGGAAATTGAAAAGAACAAAAGAAAAAAGGGGACAGAACGTTATTCGGTCCTTCGAGGACAATCCAGCACTGTGTTGATTGTGATCTTCTGGCTCGGTTGCTGTTTTCGTGGCCTCAGCTCTGAATACGTCACACTCAGTGAACAAATTGTATTCATCTGACTTTAAAACATCGCCATCACTGTGGGGAGTGTGCTCACTTTAAATTTCCCTAATTTTACAATGCACGTAGCTCTACATTGATCGAGGCACACGTTTCTCCACGATGATCACGAACCACGGCTAGATGAGAATAAGGGAAAGAAGACACAAAGAAGGCAAAAGAACGAAACAAAAGGCAAGACACAGACCCGAAGGCCGCCCCTCTTGACAAGCCTTGAGAAAAAACAGTGCCAACCACTTACCAGGCCCACACAGGAATACGAAAATACGCACGCATAAGTGTGCTCTACAGACGGCTGACGGGAAACGTCCACAATCCACAACTCCCAACAGACGTCGAGATTGTCGATAGCACAAAACATCATACCATGCCAAGCCGCTTCGATCTCGCTCTCGCCGACAAGGAAGGTAATGAGCACGGCATTATGTAGCCGTTAAGAAAGCATACATGTAAAATCAAACGGACAAAAGAACTACTACGCAGTTTCAAAGGAGAGCCACGCTTACTGGACGCCATTCCTCTTGGTCTGAAGGCTAAAATATTGAGATTTGACACCGTCATTCTACCAGAGACGTTCTCCCTTGCCGTTTTTGGCTTTCGTCCCTGCCCGCGTCTCGTGTCCAGTTTTATGCACCATCCTTCTTGACAGGGATTTTATTCCAAGTCAACCCAGCATGGGGTCCGTTTGGGGGACCCCTTGAAACACCGCATCGGGAATAGATGATAGATGCAGAATCGCAGCAATAGGGTTGTTGGTGGGACGGACGCAGGGTAGTGGATTTTGGGGGCAACACACAAAGAGAGGGCGAAGAACAAAACAAGAAACAAGAAACAAGAAACTGAAAAGAAAATAAAAGAAAGAAAGAACAAAACAACAGACCACAGACCACAGACATGAGACAAAGGGGCACAAAGAATCACGGCCTGTTGGGCACGGGGTCCTTGTGCTGAGCATAGAGCCAACCGGCTGCCCAGTTGCCATTTTTGGTCACTTAGAGTATTTGCAAATGTCTCTTTGCGGCCGAGTGAGACGTCAATACTGCATACACGTGTCTAGAGATGTGCTTCAACGTCGTTTGTATCCCACACTGGTCCTGGGGACTTGTCATCCAAGTCAGCCAGCCGCTGTCACCCGTCAGCATGTCAAAGACCAACCCGATTCCAACATCTACATGCTGTCATGCAAAATTCGCGTTCCCCGATCCACGGGGTTGTTTTATTTTGCTTTTGTTTTGTTCCTGCTCCGACCTCCCCTCGTCTATCTTGTATGCACACCCCCCCTCCCGATGCCCCCCACGGAGAGAACCTGCCCTGCCTCCATCTACCCGCCTGCAACCCTAAGCAGCCCCCAATGACGGACATCAACACATGAGGACCGTCATGCGGCCCGGCAGACCAACGACGCCGTTTTTAACTTGAAACCATCCCCCATCAGGAAGCAAAGCGCGCCCGTGTTGCGGATTGGGTGGTCAGCCGCAACGGTGTATGGGGGCGGGAAGTTGTGTAAACGACGAGAACACATAGTCGCAGAGACGCGGGTCTGTCTTCGTCCGTTTATTCTTAGCAAAAATGTTGCAAAATGCATATTCCGACTTGCTGTGCAAGCTGGAACACGGGCAGCGGGAGCAGGGAGAACAGAGAGGGTGCAGAGAGAAGGGCGGGGAGTGGATGAAGAACGACGCACAACCGAAAGGACATCGTCAAGTCGAAAAAAAACGTACAGTGTCAAAAAGTGGAGGGGTCCAACGGGTCTAAGCCCATGAAACAAAGGGAGCGGGAGCCTTGTTGACGAAAAGAAGAAAAGGAAAGGAAAACCGGTTGTAAGAGAGAACACAGCTACAAAATGGACGGGAAGTCGGCCCAAAATAGGCTTGCCAAAGTTCCAGGCGATCGTTCACTAAAGCCGAATTCTTCGTCTTTGTCCGAATCCGCGCTTGTACACAAAAGCACAACCGTCCGTCATACAGGCTAGCACGAAATAGGACTTGTGCCGTCTCTTTGCCAAATGTATGATGCTATCGAGGTGTCAATTAATTCAGATATACGACAGATGGAAAATGTACAGAAGGGAATTGAGATATGGAGATCACTGAAAACACTCCTATAATTGAGTATTTCTGTTCCCATCCCCTGTGCCATCAATCCTTGTCAATCTGTGCTCGTCTTTTTATTCCCCTCCCTTGCGGGCTGGGGAAGCACCACAGACGGGGAGGCTGTTGGCCTTGCTTGCTTGCGGTTGGCTGTTGAGTTGCTGCAGAATTAATTATGGGGCCACCTGCAGCACAGATGTCCCACACCGACGGGTTCAGCCGTTGAGAGGAACGGCCTGGCAGCCTGGCATGGCCTGCGACCAGGATTTCTCGTCCAGTCCAAGGATTTCCGACCAGGATACTGCATGTTGCAGAGGCAGAAATGGATGCGCTTACGAAAGGGTTCGAAGTGCCGGGGAAATAACGAAAAGCGAGCCAGGATTGAGCGGCCCTTGTCCAGACCCTGTTCGTCTCCCGTCTCCATCTTTCTTGTCGGATCTTGTCTGATCTCACAAGAACTGCCGGTTGGCCATTTGTCGTAGGACCCAGTCCGCCATCGGCGGCTTTGCGCTTTGTCGTTGTATTGTCTCATCGTTGCGTCGGCATTTCGTCGTCTCGTTTCTGGCTTTTGCGCCTGCGCGTCTATTGGCGGCGCACACCAATGTCTCTCCGTCCCTTCATTCATCGCCCCAGGTTGCCATGTTGGCAAACCCAAACGCACCTAGCCGCCTGATATCTTGACACCCCCTCCCTCCCCTCATTCTCGCCCCTCGCCCTCGCCCTCAGCTTCGACCCCCAACTCTCTTGGCCAGCCTCGTTCAGCGCGCCTCTTTGCCACTTTTGGCATCCCGACGCACGTCGCGGGCAGTGCCCATGTCCCATCTCTGGTCTCAACGCGGCCCGGTTTGATGTGCGACGTGCGGCGGCAGGAATAGAGTGGCATGAAGACGGGAGAAGCGGGAGGAATCAGTCGGTACTTTTTTTGCTTCCTGCAAGGGTAGGTTTGGTCTGTTTCTCATAGATGACGAGCCTGCATGAGAACCTGCAGGAAGCGTGGTCGAAAGAGGCTGCATGCGGGTTATTTTTACCAGGTTCAACCCACGCCCTCGCTGCAAGCTACGGACCGCTCAGTTGGCCCGACTGCACGTCGCAGTTTGCCGTCTTTTGTTTGTCGTTTGTTTCAAAAGACGTTGTTTGAGGCTCAAGGCTGTAATCTGTAAATAGCGCAAGTAACCAAACCTGGAAGGACCTTTTTTTGGAAGGCGCATTCTGTCGCCTCCGGCGTCGGCCACACCTCTGATCACAATGAGGGAAACTGTGGCGCATCGCTCCTGCTGCGAAGACAGAGAAAGCAAGTGACTATGCGGTGCGGGGTATTCAAAATGGCAGGCGCGGCCTTGCCATACATCGTACAGCGATATATTATGGCGTACGACAACCGGGTTCCACTTTTTCCAGTTCTTGCTTTCTGTTACACAGCGGGAAGGCGCAGCGCAGCATGCGGAAGGAGCAATACGCGTCCACAGCGAAACCTCAAAATCCGGAAACAGATGCTTCAGAGTTTGCCCGTCGACGTCCTCTTCTTCCCCAACTACAACCGCACCCGTACCCACTCCCACATCACAAACACCAAACAGGCGCACACAACTTGCATAGCCGCCGGACGAGCATCACAAGAAGCCCATCCAGACTGTGCCGCAAGCAGCGGCAGGACTATCACCGGTACCACCTTGGGGCCAAGAAAAAGAACCAGCGCCGAAGAACCCGAAACCGCAGAACAAGCCAAAAGAGGGCAGAAGAAGCAGACGATGGCCCCCAAGCCAGGCCGTCTGCGGACAAACAGACGCCCGCTCCATCTGTAGCAGCGACGCATGCAGCCCGTTTCCGTATCACCAGACTCGGACAGTCTCGAAAACGGGCCAACCCCAGGTCCAGTTTAGACGCCCAAGAACGGCCCCCAACAGCCATTGCATCGCCGCAACCATTTTCGTCAAGAGCAGTGCGGCATACCCATCCGGCATTCGGGGCTTGGCATATGCGGCCGCAACAAGACAAGCCAGATTTGGAAGCCACCAATCAGTCTGAGCCACTGTACAGAATATTCGGTGCAACACCAACGGCCAACAGCCACATCGACAACAACTGTATTGGCCCGCTTCTATTCGTGAACCGCTTTGCCTGTTCGTGGACAGAACATCGTTGCCTTTTGCGTCTCTGCATCGCTGGTTCTCCTACTTCCACCCCACCGGCATCGCCTGCGTTTCATTGTACGTTTTTTTATTGTTATTTTTGGCCCCGAGTACCACCCTCTTCTCGTCACTTTTTTTTCCTTTCTTTTTTTCTATTCTTCACGACTGTGGCGACTTCCGTCTTTGGCAACGCCTCGTGGTCCCCTGCTGCTCACGAAATACACAGCTCGATTCCGGCCTCTCCAACAGACACGTTGATATTTTGTTTTTATTTTCTTATTTTATGTCATTTTATCTCTGTTTTTTTAACAAGGCCAGACAAAGACAGACCCAACTCTGTTGCTCGCGTCCTTTGTCTGTTGCATGCACACCCCCTCCATCACAACGGTTGTTTTCCTCTCTCCTTGTAACCTTCCCAACAGTCGCCACCAGGCCCCAGATCCTCGTCTTACCCAGTGCTGCCCGCAACGGCAACAAAGAACGGAAGCCCCATACAGATAGGACCTGCCAGTTTCGAACAAGAATGGCACATCCTCCATCCTACGAAGAGGCCGTGACCGGCGGCCATTGGCTTGACCTTGTTGCGCCGTATGTCGCTCCCCGAGACTACTCTAGGCTCTGTCAAGTATCACGCCGCTTCTATGATCAGTTTGCTCCTCGATTGTGGAACGATCCACTACAAACGGCCAGGCTGCTAGGCCTGCACCCCAACGACGGTGCGTATTTTCTCGTCTTCTGTCTTTTAACTCTAAATTGCTTTTGCCTCTGAGAGTCAATAATGTTCTTCACCCTAGCCATGCATCGGACCGTCTTTTCTTCTTTTCATGTTGTCGCCGCGTTATGTTTCCTGCCACGGCCTGATGTTCTCTCCCGGCACCAAATGTGTGCTGCTGGTGTCTTCTGTAGTTGGTGGAGGTCTCGTTTTTACTTGTCCTGAACCTGCCCCCTGCCCTGTGCTAGTCGTGTACTGGAGATTTTGGTGAAGCAGATGAATAGTTTCATTTGTCCTTGGGCAAGCGTGGTGTGTTATTTTGCCGGTCTTCTTGCCGCCAGCATTATTGCTTAATGCCTTGACGCTCAACAAAACTAGACCTAACATTGTGACTATGCTTCTAGACCTGCAATGGTTCATCTTTTTCGCCACACGGCATGCAATGACAGTGCGGAATAGCACCCGCCGTCTTGTCGTGTCACTAGACTTTCGGGACTTTGCTGTTGATGTGCCGATGTCCATTGCCGGCAACAGTGGCCGCAGCTTTTCGGAGACCCTCCGGCTCCTTGGTACAGCGTTCCCGGCTGTGCGTTGTATCCTGCTCGGTGGCAATACGGGCTATGACCCCTCAGATCTAGGCCATCTGCTCAATCCGAATGATTATCCTGAGGATGGCTCTGTGCCGATGCCCTTGATATTGGACATTGCCTGTTGCGGCATGCCTCTGCCAAACACATTCTTCCACCCGTCTTACTGGAGGCAACTGGTCTACCTGGATATGTCCAATGTACCGGGCTCGCTCAAGGGCATTATTAAGACGGGTACCTTCAATCAGGGTGCCTTGCCGCACCTTCGTATACTCAAGCTGCGCGGGCGGGTGCTAGATGACGTGTCGTTGGCCCCGATTGCCGAGCACGCGACGCAGCGCATCTGGAGCTTAGACTTGACCAACAACAAGCTCACGGACAGCTCTGTTCATACTTTCTTCCACCAGTGCTTTGGAACAGACGACCTGACTGCAGAGACGAGTCACTACGAGGTGGAAGGGAAGCTAGCCGTCGTGGGAGATGTGCCAGGGGAAACAATCCCATCAGTATGGCGAGGATGGCTCTCTTATATCGTTGAATCAGCTGCCAGTGGGACTTTCTCGCACCCGGACCGGTACCTGGCCGATGCGCCCATCTACAATGCTGACAATCACGGCCCCCCAAGTATAGCACGCCTCGCCGGCAATGAACCACTGAGGAGCGATCGTGCCAAGGATGTGAAGCTTGCTCTGGCGGGCGGACCAGGGAAAATGCCTCTGGACTGGCATCACGTCCGGGATATCGACATCTGCAAGCTTCCCGCCTCCTTGACGCATCTTTATCTGAGCGGAAACCGAGACTTTACCGTAGAAGGCGTCGAGTCAATCTTTCGCTGCTCTCGAGGCCACATCCAGCACTTTGACTGCGCATCGCCTACCATTCCGACCGGCGGCCTGGTGCCCTTTACACTGACTGGCATTCTGGGCCGAAGCCACCTCTTCCGCCCTGTGATGGCTTCCAACTTGCGCAGCTTGCGTATCCATCACTCGCTGGTTACGCAAATCCCGACGCTGAGCGACCCGTCCAGAAGCCCACGGGAGGCTTTGATGTACGCTGAGACTGTTTTGCGCGAAAGGGCCGAGACCGCGTATCCACTGATGATCGCTGTTCTCGGACCAGATTGGAATTCTCGCCTGCAGTCACTCACATTGGCTGGACTCCCACGGATCTCCACCGGGCCTCTGATCGACAAGCTGATCCGATTTCTTGTCTCTGCGGCCGAGCAGGAGGCGGCAGTGCGCGCACAGCAGGCGGCCGGTTCGCTGTCGCGCCACGGCCCCGCCGTGCTCAGCGGCCTGAGACACTTGCGGCTTGAATTTGAGCCTTATCCACCACAAGACGGAGATCTCGACGGTGCATTTGACAGTCTGGACGCCAAAGCGCTGCTCAACGCGAATAGCAGTGATGCATTTAGCTTCTTTCGGGAAACGAGGACCGCTGCGACGACGGCAGCGTGGACAGAGGCAGCGGCAAAGAAGTCCTACCAGCTAATCAACGTCAGCCTCAGTAAGGACGGCGAGCGGACTGCGGCAGGCGGTGATGGTGGACGAGGCATTGGGTACGGAGATAAGAACATTGGCGGCACAAACACAAATGTCCCGAGACACTCCGATTGTTCTGGCGCTGGCGGGTCAGCTTCCCCGGATCATCTGCATTCCAAAGAAGGAACGGACAATGTCGCTCAGGCAAGACAGTCGGACCGACTGTTACATTATCCTCTGTCTGGCGCACTCGACGCCAGCAGCGAGTATGTTCGCGAACTGCTCTTTCTGGGAGATAACAGTCAGACTGCTATCAACACCACTGCCGACAACAGAACCAATGCACAACGGACGATTCAGCTTTCGGTCTGGGTTGGCAGTGGCCAACCGGGATCCAATCGAGCCATCAACAGCTACATGGCCAACCTCGCGAGACGGTCGCTGCGAGCAAACATTCGACCAGCCACTCCCGATCAAGTCGCCGCCGGTGTGCCCGTTGGGGCCTGTGTATACAATGCTGCCTGGGATGCCATTGCGTGGCTTCCGGCACCGGATGAAAGCAAACCACAGCTTGCGACGGCTGCAACAAGTGGCGTAGTCAATGCAGACCGACACCGGCTGGAATCAGCTGTACGGCCTCGTCGTCATCCGAAGGATGGCGTGATGGTTGATGTGGTTGATGCGATTCGTCAATTTCGAGCAGAAACGCGGTCTGGCAAACGCAATCCCGGCGGTTGGGCACTACAAGACCTGCAGCAAGACGGCCGGAAGTACGAGGAGAACCAACAGCCGGTGCCTCGACACTGGGCTGGCAGTCTGGAGATTCTGCTGGCATCCTGAACGGCTGGGTTGTTGAGCCCTCCTCGGGTACACGCTTCTCCGGGTTCATGTGCCCATGTCCTGATTGCTACATAATCATTGAACGCGTTCGATGAGTGAGCAGGTCGCAACGAAGTCAACAAAATCGCACAACACTAGAGACCGCGTTCTTTAGGCATCTAGAACATCGAAGCGCACAGTACCATTGCACATACAGGTCGAGCCAAGCAGCCGCGTTTACAAGCCAACCGAGCCGGGAGATGTCGGACCGAGCTGCACCGGCGCCGAGAATAAGCGACGAACGTGCCAACGAGAGGATACCCAATGACATATACCCCGCGATAAAGCAAGCAAAGCTTCACTAATACCAGAGCAGGAAGTAACGAGGGCCCGCTTTTTGTGTGCACTGGAATATGTCGTTGCTGGATTACGTCCTACTCGGCGATGATAAATGAGCAGGGGGATCGACGCCAGTGGCGAGAAGTAGATCTCAGTACCGCTATTGTCGATATTGACAGGTGTGCTTATGAAGGGCATAGAACAATTGCACGACCGGTACGGCACTACGACTCCCAAAGACGCGAACAAGACGGGCACCAAAATAGCTAAATCGGGACGGCGCCGCTTGTAAATCACTAAACACGAGCATCGTCGCTAGAGAACAACCAAGGAACAACAATACAATGACGAAGCCTCTTGGACGTGCGGACGACAACGATTTGCTACGTCTTTGAGGCCGCCATGCATGGTGCAGCGATTGCGAGTTTACCTGTGGCCATTTCGCAAAGTCAAATCCAGACGCGCTTCCGACTGTTATATCTGCACCTTCCACGAATTATGACTATATGTACAGAACAGATGCTGTTGCATACGCATTCAATCGTTTTCTAATTTGTATGTCAAACCATCGTGTACCTCAGTGGTTCAAGTATGAATGTGAGGTTCGTTTTAACTTCAAGGGTCCTGTCGGGGCAACCACGCGGCTGGACAGCCTAGAAGCTATAGGCCACCCAGATAACAAACATCGTGTCACGCCACGCTTATCCCAGTAAGGCATATAAGCGCTGACTACACGTGAACAACATCAGTCATAGTGGCACGACCTCGCCAGGCTGTGCTACTGTGGCGGCAACGATACGAAAGACCGTCTCCGGTAGTTATTGTGAATCTGTGCGTGCTGCGTTCGTTCATGTAGTTAGGCATTGGCGATGATGCATGGAGATGTTGCCATGATGAGTCCAGACGAAGGCGATGTCGCGGGAGATGATGCTGGATTTAATGCCGGCCACGATGCTAGAGGTCAAACGGGCGTTGTTGCTGATATATAGCTGATGCATGCCTGCTGACAAAATTATATCGTTTGGATAGTTATTGAAGGACGATTCACTTCTGAATTTGGGCTTGACTGTAGGGAAAAATCTCGGTTTGAAAATTATACGCCGGAAGATGGCAGCTGCATCGTCGTGAAGCTGTGTCTACAAGTACAATAACCAAAATGATAGCCAAAATGATAACCAAAAGTAGACAAATGAAATCCTACACATGGCCAAAGAGTCGCTCAAAACTAAACACGCGGAAATTTGTACATAGTACATATCAGCAAAGAAGATCAAATGACGATCCCACGCTGCGACCAGCCGTTGCGGCCCTTCCAGGCCAAGAGCACGAGCAGGCACGCCAGCCACACGCTGCCGGCCATGGCCCAAAACGTCGGCGCATAGCACTGGGTCCCGTAGCAGAGGTTGTCTTCCGCAGCGGCCGAGGGCGGGTCGTTCGGCGCGTTGGTGGCCGTAACGCCGGCCTGGTAGACAGCCGAGTAGACGAGGCCCCAAAAGGTGGCGCCCAGCGCGGGGAACATGGCCACGATGCCCCAGTTGGTGCCAAAGTTCTCCACGCCCCAGATGACCGTGATGATGATGGGCGTCAGGCTGAACACGGCGCCGTAGCCCGCACCGACCAGCCCGGACACGATCCAGAAACGGTCGCCGTGGTTCTGGGCGGCGCCCGAGGCCAGCACAACGAGGCCCGCCGACAAAAGCAGTGCAAACGTCAGCAAAAAGGCAATGCGGGACACGGAAACGCGCGACAGGACGCGGCGGAACGCGCCCGCGTCCTCCGCGTCGACGGACGGCACCGACGAGGCCGTGCCGGCCTGCAGATGCTGCGTCTGGGGCCGCGGGGCCAGGAGGTCCGTCAAGGAGCCTGTGAGCAGGCGCGCCACGGTGCTGGTGATGCCGACAATGGAAACGTGCGTGGCGGCGGTCGTGGTGCCGCCGCCGGCCGCAAAATTGGTGCTCGGCGGGTAGAGCGTCTTGATGACGGTGCCGAGGTTGTTGATAAAGGCCTCGCCGGGTCCAATCATGAAGAAGAAGCCCAGGGCAAACAGCCACATGGTGTGATCAGAGAGGAAGCGGTGGGTCTCGGCATTCAAGACCCAGGCCTTTTTGAACCGCGCCTGTTGCGCCTCGATGCGCCCAGCTTCGTCGCTGTCTTCATCGTCGCCGTCGCCGTCGCCGTCATCCCTGTTGTCCTTCCCGGGGTCCAGCAGCCGGCGACTTGCCAGCGCGTCGTCTTCGCCATCGTCGCCCGTGCCACGCACTCTCTCGCTGCAGCGGCCACGTCCACGCAGCATGCGGCTCGTCTCGTCGACCGTCGTCTCGTCGTCCTCGTCGTCGCTCGGCGCCGTACAAAAGGGGTTGGTCCGCCCCATGGTGCCGTACGAGCCGTTGGCGGTCCCGCGACCGTTTGTGGCAATCCCGATGCTGCTGTTGCCACGGCTGACGCCCGGACCAAACCGCGTCGGCCGGCCGACGGTCGCGTCGTCTATGCCGGCCGCGGACGACGACACATGGCCCGGTATCGACGACGGGAAGAGCGCGCTGCCGTCCAGCAGGCCGCTGCGCTCGAGCTCGTCGACAGCCTCGTCAATCAGCTTCGCCTCGTCCACGACGCGCAACGTGAAGGTGCCCAGCAAGCCGACCACCGACAGCAGGATGGCCAGGAACAGGAAAAAGGCCGACACGTTCACGTCGCCGCGGCGGGGCGGCGCACCCGGTCCATCGTCGGGCAGCGGCGGCAGGCGCTCGTACAGCAGGCGGCTGCCGAGCTGGCTCTGCCACATGCCGCTGAGGCCAAACGCCGCAATGGGCGCCGCCAGGGCCAGACCACGGTGCCGGCCGCGGCCAAAGTTCTTGGCGCACGTCGCCACGGCGCTCAGGTACATGGCACAGGTCGCGGCGCCAATGCACACAAACGCAGCCACCATCAGAGCGTAGGCGCGCGTCGTCGGCGGTGCCGGCGCTCCGCCGGCGCCCACTGTGGCCTCGGTGGCTGCCTTTTTGTACAGGATGGCAGCCAGCCCGTAGCCGCCGCCAAAGAGCACGCTCGACAGCAGCGAGAGCGGGGCGGGGCCGACGCGGTCGCAAACGTAGCCCATCAGGGGCACGGGCAGGTAGCACGAAATGCTGGCCGCAATGGCCACGCCGTTCACCTGGAACTGCGAGTAGTGCAGCCGCTCCTGGAAGATGTGGCCGTACAGCGAGAAGACGGTGACAGAGCCTGCACATAAGGCCGAGACGATGGCAGACACAAACGCGACCGTCAGGGCGGTCTGCCGCGACACAGCTGACGCGGCATTGTTGCGTCGGCGGCGTCGGTAGATGCGCGAGGACGAAAGATCGGGCGACAAGGAGCGGATCGACGAGAAGGACGACGAGGAGGAGAGCGGTGGTGTTTCGGACATGGTGGATGCAGTCGCAGCTTGCGCTCGACACAGCGCAAACGGCGCAGACGGCGCAGACGGCGCAGATCAGGCCGTCGAGGGAAAAGCACGCCCGACAAGGGGAGGAGGGTCCGTCGTGCGGGACAACAGTCTACTTGTGCAGACGATGCGTTTCGAGATAAATTGATGCCGGAGGCTAAAAGCCGAGGCGAAACGCCGTGGGCACGAGGACGCCGTCGATTTCGAGTCAGCGGTGCTCAATGTGTTGCCGTGACAAACGAAACAAAAGCGATAACAAACGACAGTCGCAACAATCGGCAGCGGTCGCCGGAAGGGTATTGGGTGGGTCGGTGCTAATGGTTGTTCGTCGTAAAGGACAAAACCAGCCTCGCGATGGGGGACGTGGAGATGACGCCAGTGCTATTGTGTGCTTGTAAAGAGGCGGCGAGCGGGCCGTTTGGGGTAGCTGTCCCAGGCAGCCAATCAGCAGCCAGCTGGGCCCTTCAGCGGAGGTCGGCCCCACGAAAATTTATCAGCTTATCGGCACGTGGTACTAAATCACGTGCCACAGACGCTCTGTTTCCACCCGAGCCAGCGTTTGCCCGGACAACCAATTAGCGTAGGCTCTTGCCTCGGCCCTGTCAGCGCTGGTCACAACAAGCTGGGGCAACTGGGCAGGAAAGGCTGTGGCTGGGGAAAGAGCGACAGTGCACCTCGTCCCTGTTGTTTTGTTCCTCCTCGGCCCAGCAATCCACAGCGCAACGGGCATCGGCTAGCAGGTGCAAATTCGCATTGTTTACCAGCCACCCGGATAACACGACGACAGGACCCGACATCTGGTAATGCTGCAGAATGTCGTTGACCTGCTAACTGCTTGCTATCTGCACTTCTAACGTTCAGGCGTCGGCTGTATCTATCTTCCTGACAACTCCGCCCTTTTGCGCATTTCCGCATTCCAGTCTCTTTTCTTATATACGATACTTGGGGCTGCATCTCCACGGAGCACCTTGTTTCGACACCCGCGTGCATTCCTGCGCCGTTGCGGATCCTGCTTTAGCCAGCTGTCCCAGAAGCCGTCCCCGGCTGCCGTTTTGACTCGCCACATTCGTTCCGTTTCGGCCCGCCTCCGGGCCGTGTGAGAGTCGAGAGTCGGGCACATCGTCTCTCTCCCCGACCATCTGCAACTTGACCGTCCACCACCATGTCCGACCGCTACGACAACTCGCGGCGCCGCGGCGCCCTGAATCACTGGGTGCCGCTCGTCCTAACGCTGACCATTGCAACCGCCGGCATCGCTGCCTGGGCTTGGAGCCAGCGTAACCACGACGACGACTACGAGGACGAGGAGGGCGAGCACAGCGGCTTCATGAGCGGCGGCAACGGCAGTGGCCCCAACCAAGGCTCTGGCCGTCCAAGCAACCAGCAGCAGCCATACGGCGACGTCGACTACGACCACGCCGACTACGGCGACAACCCGCCGTACGGCGTCTCGACTCCGCAGCCGGCGAGCAGTGCCGTTGGGAACACCATCAACCTCGCCGATGCCTCCGGCTCCTACGTCGGCGGCGTCCCCAATGCGCCCGGTACCGGCTGGGGTGCGCGCATGACGGATGCGCTGAACCGCACGGGCAGCCCGCAGCACTGGGTTGGCAATGCCAGCAAGGCTGTGACGGCCGGCATCTCGGCTGCGTCGGCAGCGGTGGGTGGCGCTCTTGCGTCGATTCGCGAGGGCGACAAGGACCCGTATGCCGACCATGAGACCTGGTCTGAGGAAGCCGATGCGCGCCATGAGCGTCCGGCCGCCGCCGCCGCCGCTGCGGCGTCGTCGGTTGCGGCGCCCTTCACCAAGGACGTTGTTGGCCGGAAGCGCAAGACGGTCGCTATCGTCGTGTCGGCGGCCCACGACCTGGATGTCGACGAAGACGGCTTCCATGAGCATGCTGTGAGTGCTGCCTGAGCCATTTCCAAATGCTCGCCTCGTTTTCCCTTTACTAAACAAGTCTTTACTCCAGTCCATCCTCTCGTACATTCCCCGCCAGACGGACTTCTCGCGCACACGGATATTCGTGCTCGTCTACGCGCCCGGTCTCAAGGATAGCGCCTTGCTCGACCCGGGGGCGTCCAGCTTCCAGCAGCCCAACTCGCTGAGCTCCTCCTTCTCCAACATCGCTGCTGACGCCGCTCAGTCGCCCAAGCAGGAGGCCAAGGCTCCGTCGGCCAGCGTTGCCTACAACGCCCTCCACGCGCAGGCTCTCGCGCTTGTCGAGAAGGACTCGGAGATTATTCCCTTTACGTCGCCCAACGGCCACGCCCACATTCTCCACCTCCTCGATCCTGACGTCGTGTACCTGCAGGAGTCTCTGACCGGCGACAACGGCGCCACCGTCAACCAGATCCAGAACTGGTTCCGCAACGACATTATTGTCGTTGTCGGGGCCGACAACGGCCATGGCGGCCTGGCCGATAGCGAGTCGGAGGCCGAGAAGCCGACCGGCGATGCTGCCGCAGCGCAAAAGTGGTGGGAGCGGGAGGACCGTGTTGGCCGTGGCCGTGGTGTCATCGTCGTGGACGGCATGCGCGTCAACGACGACTGGCTGCGCCGTGTGCAGAACAAGGAGTAAGTGGAAAAGATGGAAAGTCGGAACAGCTGTCGGCTGTGCGTTTGGTATATACATTGCAATTTTGCTTGGTATCTTTCTCCTTTTTTTATTTCTCCTCATTTTTCTTTACCCTGTCATCCCGTTTCTTTGCATTCGACCCTTATTTACGAACCGCCTGATGAATTTCCTTTACATAGTGTATGTAGTTTACGGCTGGCCATCTGCGGACCGAAGATATCAAATATTTTGACGTACTTCAAGAGTAAAATGGTTTTTTGTATTTGCGTACCGCAATCCGTCGTGTTGTGTATAATTGTGACATTAAACTTGCGTCCTCGTAGAAACAGCCGCTCTAATCGTTCTACGTCTCCATTTTACTTTATGTTGTCCATCCATCGCATATATATAGCTGTTCGACTTCCTTCCCCGGGACGCCGCCCTGTCGGAACTCGCCAGTGTTTTCTCTTCTCCCTTTTTTCAAAAATTAAGCCGGAAAATCTATTTCTCGAGGTAGATGTAAAAAAAAAGGAAAAAAAAGAGTCCTTGGCTACTTTTACAAACGCAAGCGGCAACGTTCCACCACGGGCCACCGTAATTCCATCTCTACTCGTCCCCTCAGTGTCTATCCACATCAATACCTCTCTTAACCCAACGAAGGTCGTCCCCTCCCCCAAGCTTCTTGACGCAACCAACAAGCGCTGGGTCTCCGTTTACTTGGAGATCTCAACACCGCCAGTGGCGCCGAGAGCCTTCTTCAGGTCACCTGCAAGGATTGTTAGTATCTCGTTCGTGTTTGTCTAATCCGGTGGCACATGGACACGCGGGACACGCAATCGTGGGAACATACCGTAGATGGCAAACTGGCCAGCGGTCAGGGTGCCCACCATGAACAGACGGGCACCAATACCAGAGTACGAGCCGCGCAGACCCAGCTCCTTGGCGATCTTGATCAGGCGCGAGGTGGTGCCCTCGCCGGGCAGGCCGGGGGTCTTGTTGATCTTGGACAGCATGGTATCGGCGGGCTGCGAGACAATGGCGGCGGCGAAGCCGGCAATCAGGCCAGAGCCCAGGTTGACAGCGGTCTGGCTGGCGTCGGACAGGGTGTTCTTGGGGTAGATGTTGAAGATGGCCTCGGAGACCTTCTCGAAGACGACAAACTTGGACATGGTGTAAGGGACCTGCTTGAACAGAATGGGGCCGAAGCCGGCGTAGAAGGCGCCAATGCCCTCGGTGGACAGCATCTTGGAGAAACCGGAGATCAGGCCGCTGGCGTAGGTGGGCTGCGAGACAAGACGGATACGGGTGGCCTCGAGAGGGCACAGGGCAATGTCGGCGAAGAACTCGGCGGCGGCAGACGAGGCCAGGTAGACGGCGGTGCGGTACTTGGAGGCCGTCTCGAGGCCGAGGTAGTCGATGTGCTGCTTCTTGAAGAACTCGTACCCACCAAACTTGAAGGCACCCTGCAAAAAGTAGCCGGCAAAGGTCGGGCCAATACCAGTCAGCAGAGCGCCGGCGCCCTCGTTCTGGATGACCTGGCGGAAGCCGCCAATCATGCCCTTGTTGTAGACAGTCGGCTCGAGCTGGATGCGGGTCTTGACGCTGTTGAGAGGGGGTTAGTGACAGAACGTGACAGAACGTGACAAGACGAGAGGCGAGCGCGATACGCAATCAGGCGATGGGCATGTCTGTCGTGGCTCCTCCCATGCCACCGGAGATTAGGCCACGGTGATGCGGCACATCTCCGAAAAGGCGCCACGCCGTCCTCATCGGCCATCCGGGCGGCAGAGCAGGCGCAACTTACACATCGACGGGCGTCAGGGCACCGTGCGTGACGGAACAGCAGACAGCGCCGGCCAGGGCGAAGCGGGAGTACAGGGCAAGGCCGGTCTTCGGCGCAACGGCCGTCGGGGCGACGATGCCGGTCTTCTCAGCAGCAGCAGCCATTTTGTGAATGTGAGAGACAGAGGCGGTGAGCGGGATAAGCAACAAACAAAAAAAAAAAAGGAGTGGAGTAGATGTTCGCAAAGACGAGGTTTTGCGAATAAGATTAGTGTTGCTGTCGCGAGAGGAGGGAGACGGAGGAAGAGAGAAGGGGAGGGAGGGGAGAAAGAGAAAAGAGAGGGAGTCGAAAATCCGTGAGGCCTTTTTCCGGCGAATATTTTTTATTTTTATTTTTATTGCTATTTTTCGTTGCTTTCGAAAAATTTGGCGGGCTCGCTGTTTCGGGCGTGCCTTCCCTCTGAGCATCTGGGACCCCTGAAAGGTACCCGAGCACTACCTGTATGTTGTATTGTCTCGCTGTTTGGGCAACCTGGCCGTTCGCTCCTGCCGTCTGTGCCACTCTGCCTTGTTTCCTCGCCCACCTTGGCCCGCTAGCGCCGGGATAGCCACTGCAAAAATTGTGTTTGGTGGAACCGCATCGCATATTTCCGCGCGTGCTGATTGGCTGCAGACTCCTATTTTTTATCTCGGGTGGATTCGGGTGAACGGGCTCCGTATGTTGCAGGTTTCTAGCGTAAGGGGAAGGCACTGCCAGCGCCGCCAGGCTCGCTCTTTCAGTGGCCGTTTCCTCTGTTTTGCCTCTTGCCACGGCCTAGCTTGCCGCCAAACACACGAGGCAGGCGCGACGGTCTCTCATTATCCGGTTGCCGCTCCACGCCCGTGACCAGGAAGCAGCTTTGGGCCTGTAAGAGGCGCCCTTTGGCCCCATGTGCGACGTGCTGTCCCCAGAATAGCCAATCTCAACGTCCCCAGCCCTTTCTGGCCTAAAGTCCTTCTCCCTACAGTGGCCAGGCCTCGGCTACTGCGAAGCATACGGCGACACTGGCGCCCAAATGAGGGGCTGTAAAAATAAATACAGGCTTCCCCTCAGTGTCCAGCGGCTGAGACACCTGAGACCTTCTTGGATTCCATACATCCTCGTCTACTGCCGTCGTTATCCAACCATGGTTGCAGCCACACAGCCAGACAGCCGGACTCGCCGCGTTTTCCCCCGGGATAGTGGAGGCCCGCCTTTTTGCGCACCGTCCGGACCAACGCGACGTTGTGCGGCGATCAATGGGATGGGCAACGACTATTCTGACAGCATTTCTTAGCTTTCCAAGTACCGATAATGTCGGTCAGCTTGCAGAAGCGTCGCCCGTGGTGACTGCACCGCCCGCAGTCTCATCCGAATGTGCGACACTGTGCACGATGTCGTCGCGGAAGCTCCAGATGGTGTATTCGTTGTCGTGCCGGAACACGAGAAAGTCGTCGTCGCCCTGCATGAAATACGAGCCGATGTGCGCCGGCCGGTAGGGGTCCGCACGGGACGGCGACGAGTCCACGTCGAGCGCGAACCGCAGCAGACAATTGTTCTTGGTCCAGTCGTCGTCGTCCTGCAGCCACTGGCCGGGGGTCCCTGGGTCCAGACCGTCGAAGCGCACCTGCTGCCGGAGCTCGGGCTTGACGTGGGTGTTGCAATGCGCTTGCGGAGGTCGTGCACTCGTAGCACCCGTAGCGTCTTGGCTTTTGCTGTTGCTTTCAAACTCGTCCATGTCATCCTCGTCGTCCACCGTTGACGTATACAAGGGCACTTTCGAGAACGGCTTCGCCGCCGAACAGCGCGCGGCTTCGCTGTACTCGTCGTCGAACGCAAAGAGCAGCGGCTTGGAGCGGAGCACTTTGCCCTGCGGCGCGTCGCGGTATCGGTCGACAATGGTGATGACCTGGTCGTTCCAGATGTGTATGCGAATCAGCTGCGCGCCCTCGCGGCCTGCGGCCGGTGTCGCGGGTGGCAGGCTGAAAAAGGACAGCGAAAACGTTTTTGTGTAGATGTTGAACGCGAGTGATGCCACGCCGACGACCTCGCCGGTCGACACACTGCGTGTAGGGCCTGGCGCGCCGGAGCCTGCACGCCACGACGCCAGGGAGTACAGCCCGCGCGCGTTGCGGCGCACGGTGGCCTCTATGAGGCAGCGGGGGAAGGCGTAGTTGTCAAAGTGGATGTGGTCGGAAAAGGTTTCCTTGTAGCGGAGGTCGTCAAACATGTGCAGGTGGAAGCTGAGCTTGCCGTTGCGGCCCATCTGGCCCCCGTCGAGCTCAAAGTTGCCCAGGTAAAAGACGGCTTCGTTGACAGGGTCGAGGATGAAGAAGCTCGGCAGGCGGCCGTCGACGTCGGGCTGCCGGTGCTTCTCGTCCAGGCCACTCATATCGACCTCGCGGAGCATGCCGCCAAACTCCCAAAAGTACACGTGGCCGTCCGCTAAGATGCAGGTGCGCTTGCCAAGCGTCTGCACGGTGTCCATCTGTGCTGGAAGCTGCTTGTCTTGTTGTTCGCCGGTGACGAAGTTCCAGGCGAGTCTGCGAGGCGTCAGTACGAAGCGGTTCACGGTATACGGGGGGTTTTGGGGATCACATGTCAAGGTCAACGCACATGCGGTGTCCTGACGCCGCCAGCAGCAATTCGTCGCCAAAGCCAACGAGCAAGAACGAATCGCCTCGCCGGTGGTCGTTTGGCACACAGAGAGGGAGCCGCCGCCCATCACGCAAGTCATCCACAAGAAACCACGTGTCGTTGTTCCGCAGGCACTGCCATGCAAGTCGACCGTATGCGTAGTCTGCCCCGTGAAACGAGACAACGCCGTCGTCTTCGTCGTCCTCGTCGTCTTCATCACTGTGCAGATCGAGGGCTGGATCCGCCCGGTTCTGAAAGAGGTCGTGCGGCCGTGGCGGCTGCCATACCCGTTGTACGGCCTCGGCATACACCATTCCGTAGCTTGGCTCCGGTTGTTGCTGTTGTTGCTGTTGTTGTTGCTGCCGCCGTTGCCGTATTTTGTTTCTCCGTCGAGCGAGCGGGCGTCCTTGGTCCAGCCATGTTGACTCGCTCGCCGTGACCTCGCTCACTGGCTTCCCTGCTATCCTGGCGGCCGCCTTTTCTGCCACTGTGAACGGCGGCGTCCGGCAGTGACGGAACACATATCGGAAGCGACCGAGCGCCCGGAGCGCGTACTTGCGTGCCGTTTCGGAAAATATCAGGTCGACGTGGGCGTTGTGGTCCTTTTCGTTTTGGCCGCCGGCCGCTCCGGTGTTGTCGACGATGTCGGTCCCTTCCGCGTTGTCGGCGCTCTTGGTGTCGTTGGAGTCTCCGGTGCTCTCAGTCCGTTCGGTGGTCTCGTCACGCTGTGCAACGGCTCCGTCGGTGCCCGCCTTGGCCATCTCCGTCCGCACGGCATCGACGTATTCCAACAGCGACGGGAAGCACCGCCGTGCGAGGTCCTTGCGCATGGACTCGTGCAAGAAGGCGCTCCGCCACATGGACGACACGTGCAAACAGCAGCCCAGGTCGGCCGGGCCCAGGCTGTCGGCCACCATAAACTGCAGCTCCGGCGGCAGGCGGGCAAAGATGTCGGTCCGTAGGTCGAGCTTGGCAAGGCGTTCTTGCAGCATCCAGATCTCGTCGAGCGTCAGGTCCGGAACCAGGCTGAGCAGATAGGCCTTCCGGTTCACAGCGATGGTTTTGGTATCAATCGCAGCCGCGGCGGATTTGGACTCCTCCGGGCCCACGGCGGCGTCGCCCGCCGAGTGATCGTCCGCCATTGCAAGATGCGGCAAAATGCTAGCGGGGAAATACTCCGTAGGCCGCGAAGGTTCGCGGGGGGAACGCGGATAAGGACGACCCGGGGCGTGGTGGTGGATGAAGCGGAGTATATGGACGGTGGCAAGGTAAAGGAGGCGATATAGTAAGGCGACTGTCGGGGGTGAAATAGTAAGGTAAGGTTGCTAGTTGCAACAAATGGACAAACCGCCGTTGGGAAAGCTAAGATACTTGCGGCAATAAAGCAGAGCACACAAGGAAGGCCGCGACAAAGAACGAACGGGAGTGCGGAACGCAGTTTTCGAGGTGGGTGACAGTAGGCAGACCCCTGCAGATTGAGGCGGGCAGAGCTGGTCCAGAATGTCGAGAACCTCAAGAGGCCCAGACGCCCAAGTCAAGTCGCCGCGCCAGGGTCTGTGGAGGTGGTGGGTGGCCACACACGTGTGCTGTGATCGATATCTTTCTTGTGTTTTTTGTGTTTTTTGTGTTTTTCATTGTTTTTGTTTTCCGGCTCTATCCCCTCTCCTTCCCTTTTGTGCTTTTCGTTCGCTCTTTCTATTTTGGCGTTGATTGTCCTTCTGCCGTACTGCCCTCAAAGAGAGAAGGAGCCAGGGCCCAGACGTGCCAGCGAGCAAGGAAACATCGAGGATGGTGTGCAGCGAAGTGGGGCAGCCGTGTAAGCCCTGCAGATCACCCTACAGTCTGGCTGGCCAGCCAGCTTTTCAGAGCGAGCTTTTAAAAAGGGTCTCCGTCTGGCCCAACCTCGTATCGACAGTTCGTATTTCCCTTTTTTTTCACCCTAGAGCCTGTGCGCGCTGCTGCAAGCGAACTCCAAGCGACAAACCCCTCGTTTTGATGCAGCCGGCCCGGACTTGGCAGCATATTGTTGCCAGCGTACAGGTGGAGCGCATGAAACGGGGCACAGCGCTCTCAGCCAAGGCGTTGAATGGAGCAGAGGACAATTTGAGTGCACAGAACAGGCAGCAGGTAGCCGGTGCTTGTGCGGCGCGAAGATAACTGTGGTCACAGCCGCCGTTTGCACCAGAGATACGGAGTAACACAGACGAGAGACGGTCAATTCACCGCCGGCACTACTTTCCTTTTGTTGGAGCATTGTAAGTGACCTGGAAGGAGAATCAGGTTGGGATGCATTCTATGTATCAAATACGATCAAATCAACATAATAAAAAAAGAGAAAATGAAAGTAACAAAACGTGAGACAAACTTGAGAGAGAAGACACGTCACAACAATACTCTACATAAGTAGAATGCAATATACAATTAGAAATAAAACAACAAAAAAGATATCATATCCATTAGACAAAACACTAAATACCCGTCAATCCTATGAATCTTCCTGTGATCCCGTCCTGACTGTCGTCTCGAATTGCCAGCCTCGTGGCGCTTGGGCCTGGCCGAACGCTCCTTCCCCAGACAGGCCCCTCCGTCCCTTAAGCGTTAGCACCTCCGACCCGACGTCGGACCCATGAACCCCACTGAACCTCATAAAAAACAAAACTTTTCTTGACTCACTTTGGCGCTTATCGATAAGGGGCCCAGGTCGGCCGCGGCTACGAGATTTTGCTCATATATGTTGTACCTCATATTGCCATATCGAGTCACTCTGGCTGCATTTATTTTGGCATTTTCTCTCCCCTTTTTCATTCGTGTCCCGGGGTTTTCCAATTGACTCACCGCCACGTCAAACGACCCCGACACTCTGATTGTTAACAGCAAAATGGCCTGGCGGACTCCAGCCGTGAACGCGGCCAAGCGTGCCGTGACCTCGGCGGCCGTTGGTCGGAGTGCTGCCCGGATGGTGGCCCGGCCGGCGGTGCGCACCATGTCGTCCACCTCTGTCTGGCGGATGGCTGCTGCCCCGACGCAGACGGCCGTGCTCGAGCGCGAGGAGGTCGTCGAAGGCTTGCACAGCCCGGATATTGTCGCCCAAAGCGATCCGTACATGGTGGCGACGTACTCGCGGCCCGCCCCCGTGTTTGAACGCGGGGCCGGCACCTACCTGTGGGACCTGGAGGGCAACAAGTACTTGGACCTGACGGCGGGCATTGCGGTGAACGGCCTCGGCCACTGCGACCCGGAGATTACGCGCGTGATTGCGGACCAGGCCAGCACGCTGATGCACGCGTCCAACCTGTACCACAACATCTGGACGGGCACGCTGTCTAAGCAGCTGGTGGAGGAGACGGCCAAGTCCGGCGGCATGGCCTACGACCCCATCAAGGCCGTGTTCGTGGCCAACTCGGGCAGCGAAGCCAACGAGGCCGCCATCAAGTTTGCGCGCAAGGTCGGCAAGGTGCGGGACCCGTCGGGCCAGCAGACCGAGGTGGTGTCCTTCTCGGGCGCCTTCCACGGCCGCACCATGGGCAGCCTGTCGGCGACGCACAACCCCAAGTACCAGACGCCCTTTGCGCCCATGGTGCCCGGCTTCCGCTGCGGCACGTTCAACGACGCCGACCCGGCCGTGCTCGAGGCGCTCGTCACGCCCCAGACGTGCGCGGTGATTGTCGAGCCGATCCAGGGCGAGGGCGGCGTCCACGTCGGCACGACGGAGTTTATGGTGGCCCTGGCCCGCCGGTGCCGCGCCGTGGGCGCCGTGCTGATCCACGACGAGATCCAGTGCGGGCTGGCGCGCACGGGCGGCACGCTCTGGGCGCACGCGCACCTGCCCAAGGAGGCCCACCCGGACATTGTGACGACGGCCAAGGCGCTCGGCAACGGCTTCCCCATCGGTGCGACGCTCGTCAGCGGCGCCGTGGCCGACGCCATCCAGATGGGCGACCACGGCACGACCTTTGGCGGCAACCCGCTGGCGTGCCGCGTGGCCTACCACGTGCTGGCACGCCTCAGCGACCCGGCGCTGCAGGGCGACGTCGTGGCCAAGGGCGCTGTGTTTGTGCGCGGCCTGCAGCAGCTGCGCGACAAGTACCCGGCCATCATCACGGAGATCCGCGGCCGGGGCCTGATTCTGGGTGCGCAGCTAGCGGTCGACCCGAACCCGATCATTGCCGCGGCGCGCGAACGCGGTCTGCTGGTGATCTCGTGCGGCACCAACACGCTGCGCTTCGTGCCGCCATTGAACATCTCCGAGGGCGAGATCCAGGAGGGCTTGGGCCTGCTTGACCAGGCCATTGCTGCCAGCCAGAAGTGAGGCATGAGGCGTGAGGCGTGAGGCGTGAGATAAGAGACGCGAGACACGAGAAACGCGTCGGATACAATCATGGCGGATGGAGCGTTCGGCGCACAAAAAAGGAAAGATGTTTACGGTTACGGTTTATGTTTGCGAGATTTATTTATTTATTTTTTTTCATTTTTTTTTTCAGCTTTTTTTGTTTTATGACGCAGCCTTTAGTACGAGGTTGGTTTTCTTGGTTTCCCATTTTGTAATTTGCTAGCATCATGACCATGTGCATAATAGATTTGGATCCTCGTCTAGACAGTTTTGCAACCCTGTTGCCTTGTGCTCGGAGACAAGAGTCTTGTTGCCGAGATGTCGGACATATCGTGAGTATCAGTTGTCATCAGTTCGTTCGGTGTTTACTTTCAGTAGGCAAGCGATTGTTGTTTTGCCTGATGACGTATGCCCATCCTGATTTCTCACTTCTTTGCCCGATCCTTTTTCCTCTTGTCAAATTATTCGGGGTTACGAACGGGGCAACGATACGCATGGATGGCCAGATGGCAACCTCCGAGCCAATCACCAGCCCGTTGTTGCAAGCGAACAGTCCTTTTACGGTGTCAACGTTTTGATTTGGCGATGTGCCCTGGATCTGTCGATCAAATGGCGCTGCTGTGATTGGCCAGAGCAGCGCGACTTTGTAATGAATGCGCTGTGATTGGCTGGTGGTTCGTGTACGATCTCGCCTCTGTCGTCAAATTTGGCGTGGAAGGAAAGAGCGACCAACAAGGGAGAGGCCAGCTGAGGGTCCAAGAATGGATTTTCAATGCAAAATGGAGACATGAAAAGTAAGAAAATAGACAAAGTAAGCGGGGATGCTGCGGACGCCCTGGCTATCACATATCCAGGGAAAAGTATTAAACCAGAGGCCATTGCTCACCATCCTCTGGCTGCTCTCTCTTGCCAGTTGCCTTTGTGTTAGTGGCTAGCGTACCTTCCTGTTTCGTCATATTGCCTTGTTCAGTTTTGTCTCCAACACACCATCTACCATATTCGCCCCTTGTGCCCTGTTGCCAACCTTTTGTTTCGCCATCTATTTATTGTTGTGCATCACCACTCTCTGCACGACGCGTCAGTCACACAACGCCCGCCCTCACATTTACACCATCACGCCCTTAACCACCACCACATGTCCTCAACAACCATCACCATGGCTTCCGAAGTCGACCCGTTGATTGAGCGCCGCTCCGACAGCAGCCTGACGCGTGTGTCGTCCCGCAGCTCGTCGCACTCGGAGCGCCACACGGACTACAATGCCATTGTGCGCGACATTATCATTGGCTTCGCCGACGGCCTGACGGTGCCCTTTGCGCTGACGGCCGGCCTGTCCAGCCTCGGCGACACGCGCCTCGTTGTCATGGGCGGCCTGGCGGAGCTGTTCTCGGGCGCCATCAGCATGGGCCTCGGCGCGTACCTGGCGGCGGCGACGGAGAAGGAGCACTACCACAGCGAGGAGGCCCGCGAGTGGGACGAGATCCAGAAGACGCCGGCCGTCGAGCGCCAGGAGATCTACGACATCCTGGCCGCGTACCACATCAGCCACGAGGCGGCCACGCCGCTCGTCAACGAGCTGTGCACGAACCCGGAGATGTGGGTGCGCTTCATGATGCACTTTGAGCTGCGCCTGGAGTGCCCCGAGGTCAGCCGCGCGTGGCTGTCCGCGCTGACGATGGGCATGAGCTACTTTGTCGGCGGCCTGATCCCCATGATCCCGTACTTTTTGATGGCCCGCACGGGCGATGCGCTGATGGTCTCCATTGTCGTCACGGCGGCCATCCTGCTGGCCTTTGGTTACGTCAAGACGAT